CCACGCTGCTATCACCTTACTCTATCAGGCCAGTCATGCCAGAAGATGAGCCCACAGGCAGGGGACCAACCACGCTGCTATCGCCTTACTCTATCAGGCCAGTGATACCAGAAGTTGAGCCCTACGGGCAGGGGACCAACCACGCTGCTATAACCTTTAACACCTGGTAAAAATACAGCAACAAAAAGGGAGCATTTAAGTCTGTATGCATTTTAATAAATGTACTTTTGTTTGAGCATGTCCCCGGCAGAGTTGTGGGTTTTAAGGCAATGTCCAAAAGGTATGGCTGAGGCTAGATGATTAAAGCCACAAGTGAGTGGCTTCAGTCATTTCCCACAGAATTATGGGATCTGTCAGCCTAAGCCAGCTGATTTGAAAAGGTCCATCTTCAGCCAGTTGACACATGTACAAACAAGAGGCGGTACCAAGTGACTGCTTTCTCAACTTAACAAATTGTGAAAACTCTGGCTGTGTGAGTGGAAATTTCTTGAAGAACCTTTGAATTTTACCCTAAAGAGCTGGGGTGAGGGGAGAGGGAATCCACCTCCCTTTAACATATTTTCCAATATTATCAAAGTGCATATTTTCCAGAAGCCTTCTGGACTTTTTTTAATAACTTTTTTTGGTCGTTCTGACACCATTTTTGTGAAAGTCCAACAAAATTCCAGACAAAGTTGACAACTTCACACTGATGAGTATACAGTTTGTTTACAATGCCATGTTTCACCGGACCATATCTGAATCTTTAAAAAGGCAATTTGTAGAGTCTAAGTTGGTCAGATTAACTGATCTACATGTACATCGTCCTGACGCAGTCACATCAAGTATCATTTCAAAAATTTAAATATGCACAGCATGCCAAAGTGAAGTTGGGCTTACATCATGGGACGGCCAAGTTAGAATGGGTCTTACTAATTACCGTCAACACACCGTCACAACACAATAGTAACGTCAACACAGTGTCAACTTCCCGAAAATACAAGTTCAATCTACAAGAGAGGCATGGAAGTGTACAACACTTGGGCTGAAAGA